TCTCCAATCTCTCCGGAAAGCTGTCTGTCCTCTGTCTCTTGTCACACCACACGGACTTCCAGGAGTGGACACAAGCACCAGCCTGTCCCTGAGTGACACGTGACCTGCACTGGGCAGTCACATACGTGCAGTCCTGCCGTGTCAGTGACCCCGAGTGTCAGCTGGGTTCTCAGGTGCTCAGCATGGCGTGGTCTCCAGAACTCACAGCACGAGTTCTGTAGAAAGTTCTGGTTGGCGTCCATTCTGGCTAAGCAGTGGCTGTGCTGAACCTGGCGCCGCCTCTGCCTCTGATTCTAGTCAGGCGCACCTGGAACATCTGGTCGGGTCACCTGACGCCTTGGGGGCCTCCCTTTCTGGTCCCTTGGCATCCTGCGGCTCTGTCCTTTTTTGAACCACGACATCTCTTGTCTTTTCCCTGCCGACCTTCCAAACCTGAGCCTAACTAAGGACCATGTAGTCTGTGTGTGCCGGTAAATAAAAAGTACAGTGGAGCCTCTGGAAGTGCCACTGCCCAGTGACTGACCCACAAGCACACTGCATGTGGTGGGTGGTGTGGTGGGGCTTCAGGTGGGGTGAATCTCCTCTCCTAGCCCCCAGGAGGAGTGTGACTCGCAGGCCCTCCCTAGCTGTTAGGGAAGGTCTGTCCCCATCCCTAGTCACCAAGAATCCAGTCAAATTGGTTTAAACAAAATGGATTGTGTATTGGCCCAGCTGATAAAAAGCCCGGGGTATCTGGGAAGCTGGGCTTGATTCATCTCAAAGTCTGTAGTGTGTCCACTTTGCTGACCACCTTGACTCAGGTCAGAACTGGGGTGGGGAAAGGGGTGCTGTCTATTGGGCCCTCATACCTACACTTAGTGGAACAGGATGGTGACACTGGAAATCACTGCTTTAGCCCCTGAGACCTCTCTGACACCTTCTCTCCCTGGGTCCTCCCTGCCCTGGAGTCGCCACCAGTGCTAATGCCCGAGTTCTGCAGTCCCCTTGTCCCCTTCCTCACCAGCCACCCCGTCCTAGTCCTCGGGGAGGCTTTCCTAGGAGAGGGCTCTCATCACAACCTCCAGGAGGTCTGTAGTGCGCCTTCCCGGAGGAGTCGCCTGGTCCCGTCTGCCCGATCCCTCCCCTGTTACTCCTGCAGGAGCTGGTCACTCAGAACCAGCTGCCTGCTCTCCCTTAGAAAAAGGCAACTGCTGGGCCCAGGAGAGGAGGGGCTGAGAGGAACCTTCCTGACCCGAGGGAAAGTCAGGTTCACCTGCTCTTGCTACTTTTTAACTGGGTCAGAAAGGTTATGCTAGACACCTGAGGACCCTTAAACCACAGCGTGTTAACTAGTGAGGACATCGGTCGGCTAGGCTGCTGTGCCCAAACCAACCAGGGCTTCACCTCACTGACGCACATTCTGGGCTGCGCAAGGGCTGTGCAGCCAGGCCAGGCCTGCTGTGGGCGCCGCCTCTGCCCTCGGTGTCATCTCATGGTCCAGGACCTGCTCTGCAGCCTGCAACCCCAGCTGCATTTCAGCCGGGGACAGGGGAGGACACCCCAGGACGAGCAGGTGCTTCTTCCTTGGGCTTCTTACTGTCGGAGTGCTCCCAGGGCCGCTCCTCGCTGCGCCAGGGGTGGGTGATAGGCCTGGCTGACATTACTGTCGCTCTGCAGGAGGGAGACAGACTTTAAGTCCCTGTATTACATCATGGTGATACCATGACATTTGTCTCAAGGAAAACCGAGAAAAATAAACTGTAGCATTAGCTGGAGAAAGGACCATGGAGACGGACTGCATTCATCACTTTTCAGAGAAGACTAATGTCTGCATCAGCCCTGAGGCTTTGGGGGGCACCATGAGAGGTGAGGGGAGGCAGTATTAGCCCCAAATAGGCCTTTGTTGAAATGTTGGTTATTTTTAGCTGGTTATTTTTATTTTTTAATTTTATTTTTGTTTAAAATATTACAGATGTCCCTTTTTCTCCCCAATGACCCGTTCCACCCCGTCCCATCCCCCTCCCCAGTCCCTCTCCCCACCGTTGTCCGTGTCCTTGGGTTGTGCATAGATGCATATAAATTCTTTGGTTATCTCTCCCCCTCCACCCGCCAACCCTCCTCCCTCTGACATTCGTCAGTCTGATCTATGCTTCCATGTCATTGAATCTATTCTGTTCATCAGTTTATTAAGTTCTTTAGATTCCACATATAAGCGAGATCATGTGATGTTTGTCTTTCTCTGCCTGGCTTATTTCACTTAGCATAATATTCTTCAGGTCCTTCCACACTGTCCCAAAGGATACAAGGTCCTTCTTCTTTACAGCTGATGGGATCATTTTTAAGGCCCCTTTTAATTCTTGATCCTAT